AGACAGACAGACAGACAGACAGACAGACAGACAGACAGACAGACAGACAGACAGACAGACAGACAGACAGACAGACAGACAGACAGACAGACAGACAAATAAATAAATAAATAAATACAAATTCCAAAATTTAACAGAAAAAGCAACTACCACAAAAACACACAAAACAAACAACAACGAAAAATAACAACAACAACAACAAATAACAACAAGAACAATAACAACAGCAACAATAACAACGAAAATAACAGCGAAAACAACCTCAAAAACAGCAACAAAGGCTTTACTTCACTACACCATCAAGTGTACAACTGTGCGGACTGAGAGATACACTCCACTCACCTGTAAATACCTGAGAATATCCGTCTTGTTTGACACTCGGAATTTGAATGAATGAACACTAAACTTCCTTTAGTTTAAGTCCCTTTAGAGGCAACTGATGAACTGAAAGAAAAAAAAAATAGATCAAAATAAATATACGCCGATTCTTTCAAATGAACAACTAGCATTCAATACTCAGTACAATCCACTCTTCTAATAAACACATCGTCTTTGTTTAAGATTAAGCCCTCGTCTAAACGTTATGACAGGACATTTTATAAATTGCTCGTTCGTCTCAGGACAGGTTTTACATTCGGGCGCCAGCGGTCCAGATCTAGCAGTTCGCTTGAAAAGGGTGACAACCTTTCTTCTCTACCTCAATCCAACCGCGAGTGGATATTACAGTTGTTTTTATATACCAGGAGATGTTTTTATACCTCCATCAACCCTGTTTAGATCATTTAGGATAGGAGGTAGGTTTCCGACCTTGCCTGTCAGGACCAACCCGGGCGGTGGGGGAAACAACATCCCTGCAGAAAGATAGAAATTATGTTTGATAATAATTTAATTTTTCCCCCACTCATGAGTGCGACAGCGAAGTGCTTGGCCACTAGACCACCGACGCCGGTAATAATAATAATAATAATAATAATAATGATAAATAGCATTTATTGTATAGCGCACATCCCCGCTCGACAGCAAGCTCTTTGCACTTTACTCTATATTATTACCGCGGCAGACAATAGAAAACTAAGAAACATTCTCAGCTTAGTTTTAGTAAGTTTTGCAACGCTTGCATCACAATTTCGCCATATAAGTGCCAATGATTAGAAGTGTCACAAGAAAGTAAAACACACAAAAGGAAGGAGGAGCGATAAACGAGATACAAGTTTTATAGGAAACAAGGAGCAAACCCCGCCAGAGCACCCACCAACCACCAGAAAGGTGTAGTGTGAGGGTTGACTGACTGCGACGTGGTGGAATCAGGCGCTCGTCAATTTTTGGGCATATGGGGTTGATGGTATCATCTCAAGGCCTGTTCATTTGCCTTGCTTTTGGTGAAAATAATATCCATCTATGTCGAATAGGAGTCGAAATATTTGCTATTGAAGGAGGTCAGGGTCGCCTTGCTTCAGAGGTGAAAAAAGCGAGAAAATGGTGGCCAAAGTTTGGTAATTTCCATGGCTTGAGAGTCCTTGAAAACTGACAATTGACATTTTTTGTACCTTTAATCGATGTTTTTCCTGTAAAATCCACACATAAATGTGTGCTTAAATGGATATAAAAGGTGTCGAGCCCCCAAAAAAGAAGAAAATTACAACAACAAAAAATTACCCAACGGTAAAAAATATGCCAATTTCTTTGATTTCAATATTTTGACGAGCGCCTGACTTCACCACGTTGCCTCACCAATGAAGATGGCGAACGGAGTAAATAGTTGGGCAGCACAAACACAGACTCGGTGTCACTGGGTAGGACTACGCGTACGGGGTGGGTTGACGACGTGGGTTTTGGCTAATGATGCACGACAGGTCTGTAACTATTGAGGGTAAAAATAAAAAATAAAATAGGGATAACACGTTTTTGGATCCAACGATTGTTACCCATACACCTACCCCAAACAATACCCTACCCTTACACTTACACCTATCCCTACCCCTTACCGTTGCCTAACCCCTACCTCTAATTCGATCTTAACTTATCTCTTACTCTACCCTTACCACTAACTCTATCCCTACCCTTACCCCTACCCTAATTCTACCGCTATCCATAACCCTAACTTTCCCCTACCACTACCCTTACCCCCTAACTTTTATCTTACCCCTACCCATAACTCTTACCTTATCTTAATTTTACCATTACCACGAACTCTATCCCTACCCCTACCCCATAATTCTACCCCTATCTGTAACCCTAAGAGCGCCCCCCCCCCTCCTCGACACACACACACCCAGGAAAAGTAAATTAAACAAACAAAGATTGAAAATATACTATATACATGAACATAGGTTTTGAGCTGCTCTGAGCCACACCAACACGACAGCCCTTCGCGCTATTGGAACAGTACAAGTAAAAAAAAGCAAGACAGACAGTCAGAAGAAAAAAACCCTCCGAATCTACATATATTTCACGCCTTTCTCAAGACTGTTAGGTTCTTAAAATTTAGGAGGCTGGACGTCTGAATTTAACGTCATTCTCCGATGCCACAGGATCCACAATTAATTAGTGAAAATAGAGGGATAATAAACACCAGACTGGCAAAACAAATTTATAATAAACTCTTGTTTATGGACAATAAATATCTATTTACACACACACACGCCTCCACAAACACACACACACACACACACAC